TCTCCCTTCTGTTGATAGCAGTACAATTTACAATAGCAAAGATGTGGAAACAGTTCAAATGTCCATCAATAGATGCCTGGATTAATATGCTGTGATACAGCCCTAGTCAGCTTGTTTAATTGGCTAGAGCGTCACCCTGCAGACTGAAGGATCCCAGGTTTAATTCAGGACAAGGGTACATGCCCAGGTTGCAGGCTTCATTCAAAGTAGGGAGTGAACTAGAGGCGGCCAATCAATTATTCTCATTATTGATGTTTCTCTCTCTCTCCCTCCCTTTCATTTCTTCACTAAAATTTAAAAAAAAAATTGTGGAAAATTTATACCATGGAATACTCTGCAGCAGTAAAAAAGAAGAATGTTTACCTTTACACACAGCATAGAGGCACCTGGAAAATATCATACCAAGTGAAATCAGTCAGTCAGAGAATGAGAAATATCACTTGATCTGACTCATATATGAAATCTAAGAAAATAAAGTGGTGAATGGAGTGGATTTAGGGATATGGAAGCATGGAAGGGAGTACAGAATCTCAGAGGAAAGGAATAGGAGGGAAAAAAGAAAGAAAAAACAGCCTCAGGTAAGGATTACACACACACACACACACACACACACACACACAAAACAAAGTCATCTGAGCCTTGAGAATTTTCTTCTGTTCTCTTCATGCAATGGGAAAACACTACTTTCCTGTGTTCTGAGTGTGCTCTAAATTTGAGTTTATTAATCTGTGTTCAATCAGTTGAGTCCCTGGAATTGCTGATAATCTTCATGTAACTTTCTCCTGCTTCACATGAGTCAATTGCTTTTGGTGATGTTGTAAGAAATGTCCACGCTTGTGGAGAATTTTCCTAAGTTTATGTGACCCAAGTCGGTAACAATGCCAGGAAGCAGAATAACAATAAATTGCTTGGGAGAATGGCAGTTTTGCACCTTTTTTATACATGAGACTAAAGAAGAAGACATAAATGGGTTACATGACATTCACTGGTGATAAACTGGGGGCAGGAGCTAAGGAGGGAAATCTCTGGGATTGGATAAAAAGTAAAAAAAAAGACATAAACTCCTTTTTAAGTTTATCTGATAGGTAACAGTTAATATTTAACACAATAACAACAATAATTGGGGCTCTGTGATCTTTTGTGTTCAGAGATTGTGCTCTTAGGAACCTGTGAAACAGAAATGTCCAAAGGTATGTTATCCCAGAAGCAAAAATACAACAGACAGGCTTAATAAAGTGAAATTTGACCCTTGCAAAAAAGTAAAAATCCACACACACACACTCAGACAAAACAAAATAAACAGACTAGGACATAAATACCCCTGTGACTAGCTTTTACTTGGAAAGTTTTAACTTTAAAGCATCCTATATGGGTACTTTTAGCCTCGGAATTTGCAAGATTGTCCATGCCATCCTAGGCTCCCTGAGATTACTAGGTTTACTGTGTGCCATCATTTTTGTCCATACCAGGGACTTAGAACCTGTGGGTTGAGGTGCAAATTCAACGAGTGGTTTATTAACTCAGGGACCCATTTCGCATGTCCTCCTAAACACAATGCCCCCAGTATTGCTTTTGTGCCTTTATTTAGTCTCCTACAAGTAGTCATTCCTCAGGTCAATAAAGTCTTAGGTTCTAAATGTGGTGGAGGTATTCGTAAGGACAAGAAAAAGGTATGATTCTTGGCTGTGGCCTTCCACAATTTATGAGAAGCACCTGCCAATTAAACCCCACGACTGTTGACTCCTCTAATCCAACAACTCTTCTGTTCAAACTGTTGAACAAGAGAAGTTACTTGCAAAACTACATTCTTGCTATCCCTCCGCCCTGCTGTTGTCACACCTCAGAGATAATTTGCACCACGGAGTCTCTAGTCAGTACAAAGTTTACTTCCCTGAACTACTTTAAACAAGCCTCTTTTTAACTCTTCATAACTTTCTCTCTAGTCATATTTTATAGCCTTGGGAAAAATACTGATAGGAAAACTACCTATACATCTGCCAGTCTGTCTCCAGGAATGCAAAGTAACTGTAACTTAAATGGCTCAAGATAAAAGAAATATACATGCCGAAACCTGTTTGGCTCAGGGGATAGAGTATTAGCCTGTGGACTTTAAGGTCCCAGGTTCAATTCCCGTGAAGAGCATGTACCTGGGTTGCGGGCACATCCCCATTGGGAGATGTGCAGGAGGCAGCTGATCAATGTTTCCCTCTCATCCATGTTTCTGTCTATCTCTCTCCCTTCCTGTCTGTAAAAATCAATAAAATATATATATTTTTAAAATATATCCATTCATCTATTTTGGAACAAGATGTTTTTCAACTCTATATTCAATCCACATTTTTTTTTCACCAATATATTTTTATTGGTTTATTACAGAGAGGAAGGGAGAGGGATAGAGTTAGAAACATGGATCAGCTGCCTCCTGCACACTCCATCTAGGGATGTGCCCACAGCCAAGGTACATGCCCTTGAACGGAATGGAACCTGGGACCCTGGAGTCCGCAGAATGACGATCTATACACTGAGCCAAACCGGTTAGCACTCAATCCACATTATTATGCCTTGTGGGCGAGTCTCAGTTACAGAAAATGTAACAAACAATGAAGAACTTTCACCCAAACCACTGGAATGCTCACTGGGTCACAAAAGCCACATCTCCAGTGTAAAGACACCCTTTTCCTCTTCGTTTTGCTGCCAGAGCAGCAATGAATCTGATGGGAACATCTAAGAGGACACAGGAAGCCACAAAACCTCTTGATTATAATAAATGACAATGACTGCTCAACAGAAGATAAACAAACTGGAGTCCCTCAGATCTGTGTACATATCGCTCCTGTAGTCTTTTCCTCAAAAAAAGTTCTGGGTGCAGGTTTAGATGGATTCCATTCCTTGTAATAGAATTAGATCAGTATTTCTGCAGTCAAGGGGTCCCCCTCACTGAGATGGTCCTCCAACCAGTGCCCATCACCCATGGAACAGAAGGCATTAGGGCACATGGCCCTCTGCAACACCTGGGGAAAAGAATCCCTTCAAATGTCTTTGCATTTTTTGAAAACAAGAAAAAAATTCACGTTGCTCACAGACATACTTGAGGTTATCACAACTACCCCCTCTTTTGAGTGAACTCTCTGTCTCAAAGCTTCCATTTTCACAGGATGAATAGAGAGTCAACATTATTCCCTGCAAAATTATGGGCAGCAACATAAATTTGGCAAAAACTACTGAGCTAATTTTTGCACTGTAGTGTTCCCCCCAGGGCAAACTGTTTGAGATCCCATAAAAATTTTCACCTCATCATGCTTGGAGAGCCCAGATCTTCTAATAAACTAAGCCACACAGTAAATAGAACACCCAGCATTAAAGAAGTCCTAGGAAAAAGCCTTTATTATTTTTCAAAGAAAGAGACCTGAGACCGGCAGTTCTCCCCTTGATGACTTAGGCACTCAATAAATAAACTCAACATTAGCATGTAGGAAAGTGTGCCCTTCAAAATGACAGATCTTCTACATGATGTTTACTGGCGCCAACAGTAATCAGTCCAATGTGGCGACTCAAGGCAGGGATACAAGGAAGAACTAAGGGATGAGGTATTCCTATTTTCTTCAACAAATCAGACAACACAGTTAGCTTCCTTGTGCCCATGAGGATGGTGATTGATGCCATCTATAGGGACTTTATAGGATGCTAAAATATAGGTGGATCAGAGGAAATACCTTCAGTAACAGAAATATGCAGTGACAGAGATATGGCAGGACATCTCTGTATGTTAGAAAGTACAACATAGATATGTATACTTCCAATATAAAAACAAAGAAAAAGAACAGCAGAAAAAATAAAGCTTTTCTCCAGTGTGACGTCTCTGATGATATTGCAGACCACTGCTACTTTTAAAAGATTTCCCACATTCACTGCATTGATAAGGCTTTTCTCGCATATGGACTTTCTTATGACAATGAAGATTGTGCTTACTGGTAAAAGATTTTTGACATTCACTGCATTGATAAGGCCTTTCTCTAGTATGATTTCTCTGATGATATTGGAAACCTATTCTACTTTTAAAACATTTCCCACATTCAATGCATTTATAAGGCATTTCTCCTGAATGAACTCTCTGATGACGACGAAGGTTAGTCTTTCTGGGAAAAGATTTTCCACATTCACTGCATTCATAAAGCTTTTCTCCAGTGTGACGTCTCTGATGATATTGCAGACCACTGCTACTTTTAAAAGATTTCCCACATTCACTGCATTGATAAGGCTTTTCTCGCATATGGACTTTCTTATGACAATGAAGATTGTGCTTACTGGTAAAAGATTTTTGACATTCACTGCATTGATAAGGCCTTTCTCTAGTATGATTTCTCTGATGATATTGGAAACCTATTCTACTTTTAAAACATTTCCCACATTCAATGCATTTATAAGGCATTTCTCCTGAATGAACTCTCTGATGACGACGAAGGTTAGTCTTTCTGGGAAAAGATTTTCCACATTCACTGCATTCATAAAGCTTTTCTCCAGTGTGACGTCTCTGATGATATTGCAGACCACTGCTACTTTTAAAAGATTTCCCACATTCACTGCATTGATAAGGCTTTTCTCGCATATGGACTTTCTTATGACAATGAAGATTGTGCTTACTGGTAAAAGATTTTTGACATTCACTGCATTGATAAGGCCTTTCTCTAGTATGATTTCTCTGATGATATTGGAAACCTATTCTACTTTTAAAACATTTCCCACATTCAATGCATTTATAAGGCATTTCTCCTGAATGAACTCTCTGATGACGACGAAGGTTAGTCTTTCTGGGAAAAGATTTTCCACATTCACTGCATTCATAAAGCTTTTCTCCAGTGTGACGTCTCTGATGATATTGCAGACCACTGCTACTTTTAAAAGATTTCCCACATTCACTGCATTGATAAGGCTTTTCTCGCATATGGACTTTCTTATGACAATGAAGATTGTGCTTACTGGTAAAAGATTTTTGACATTCACTGCATTGATAAGGCCTTTCTCTAGTATGATTTCTCTGATGATATTGGAAACCTATTCTACTTTTAAAACATTTCCCACATTCAATGCATTTATAAGGCATTTCTCCTGAATGAACTCTCTGATGACGACGAAGGTTAGTCTTTCTGGGAAAAGATTTTCCACATTCACTGCATTCATAAAGCTTTTCTCCAGTGTGACGTCTCTGATGATATTGCAGACCACTGCTACTTTTAAAAGATTTCCCACATTCACTGCATTGATAAGGCTTTTCTCGCATATGGACTTTCTTATGACAATGAAGATTGTGCTTACTGGTAAAAGATTTTTGACATTCACTGCATTGATAAGGCCTTTCTCTAGTATGATTTCTCTGATGATATTGGAAACCTATTCTACTTTTAAAACATTTCCCACATTCAATGCATTTATAAGGCATTTCTCCTGAATGAACTCTCTGATGACGACGAAGGTTAGTCTTTCTGGGAAAAGATTTTCCACATTCACTGCATTCATAAAGCTTTTCTCCAGTGTGACGTCTCTGATGATATTGCAGACCACTGCTACTTTTAAAAGATTTCCCACATTCACTGCACTGATAAGGCTTTTCTCCTGTGTGAACTCTCTGATGACGACGAAGTGCAGTGCTCTTGGTAAAAGATTTCCCACATTCACTGCACTCATAAGGCCTTTCTCCAGTATGAACTCTCTGATGATATTGGAGGCCATTGCTACTGGTAAAAGCTTTCCCACATTCACTACACTTATGAGGCCTCTGTCCAGTGTGCAAAACTGCATGATCACCTAGGCTATTACTACTGCTAAAAGCTTTGCCACATTCACTGCACTGATATGGCCTTTCTCCAGGGTGAACTCTCTGATGACGACGAAGGTCAGTGCTTCTGGGAAAAGATTTCCCACAATCATTGCATTCATAAGGCCTTTCTCCACTGTGAACTCTCAGATGATAACGGAGGCCATTTCTACTGGTAAAACCTTTCCCACATTCAGAACACACAAAGCACTGACTTCCTGCATGGACATCCTTTTCCTGAAAAAACATGTGGTTGCAACTAATGTCTGTCTTACATTCTTTTCTGGTGTAATAATTTCTTCTCCTTTGAAACATCATCCCACATGTCGGAATAGCATTTGGACTGATCCTGGTCTGAGTAGCCTTTAGGTGGAGATGTCCTGTCTTGGTAAGGACACCCTGCCCAACCTCCCCGCATGTGAAACGATTCTGGGACACATTGAAATTGCAGCTGTTTGCAAGTGAGATCCTGTCCACACCTCTAATGAAAGTGTCTCTCATATGCTGCTGGTGTAATTGTGCACTGAAATAAAATCCTTGTGAACATGCCCCACACCTCAACAGTATCTGTCCGTGTTGTGTTCCCTGCCCCTCCATCACGTGGAAAATATTTCCCAAGACTAGTCCACAACTCTCACAGGGGTGACTCTTCTGGGAAGACAAGGTTAACTTGGGATTCCTTGCCTTTGACATTCCTACAAAAACGTTCTCTTCAGTCACTGCCTCCAAAATATCTGCTCCACAGCAGCAACCTAAACAAAAGGAAAAGCTGGTGAAGTACATGTTGACCTTATAAAAACAGAATGCCTTCACAAGTGTTTATCTATTATGATCTGAATATGATTCCATAGAATGATTTTCAAGACAAGTGAGTTAGACTCTGAGGAAATGGCTGTTATACATAATGTGGCCCGAAAGGTCTATGGATGATGAAAATCTCACCAAGGTAGGGGGGTGGGGGGCGGGGAGGGATACAGACGCAAAGGATGAGACACAAAGAAGAGAGGCAGGATGTTCTAGTTCTTCCTCCACAAATGGATTCCTTTAGGACCTTTCATGTGAGTCTGTGTAGGATAATTTCAGTGGCTCAAATCCATAAAAATCAACTGTATTAGAGCACATGATGTTCAATGTCAATATAATAATACACATGCACTCTCAGGCTCTGCATGTATGGACCAATGTTGGACTGCAGGAAAGAGAGAGGCGTGAAAGAGGTAGAGGTGCAAAGTTTAGAGAGATTAGGTTATTCATGGGCTGGGAATCTGAATAGAATGATCAGTATTAAAAGTGAGTCCTTGGCAAAATGTCAATATTAAGCAAGAAGAAGTAGAATTGGGTGAGGAGTGAGCAATGGCAACAAAATACTGTTGACTAAAATGGGTTCCTAGTTATGAATGTAACAAAGTCCAGGCATGAAAACTGCCCCCACAGCCCTTCAACCAAGGAATGAGTTCGTCTGGGTCTACCCGGTCATTGATAAAGTCATGTTTCTTCTGTAATACACAAAGGATTCTGCCTGTTACATCCCAGTTGAGCCATTTGGTGGGATAAATGAAGCAAATCTTTGTTTTAAATATATTTTTATTGATTTCAGAGAGGAAGGGAGAGGGAGAGAGAGAGAGAAACATCGATGATGAGAGAGAATTGTAGATTGGCTGCCTCCTGCATGCCCACCCCCCACTAGGGAACGAGCCCACAACCCAGGCATATGCCCTGAACGGGAATCATACCCGTGACCTTCTGGTTCACAGTTCAATGCCCAACCACTAAGTTAAGCTGGCCTGGCAATGATGCAAATCTTAAAAGAAAAACTGAAAAGATGGATCATCAGCACTGTGGTAGGAGAACAAAACACAAATGAGATCACAGGAAAAAGACGTATGAGAGTGACATAAGCAAGATGGCAGGATCAGAGATAGAGAACTATTCCCCATTCCAGAGTAAGTAGACAGCTATCCATGAACAAAAAAACACCCCCACAGAATATGGGAATAAGACTATAATAAAAACAAACAGTAATATAGAACACCAAATAAAGGAGAACTAAATAGAAAGGATGACAGGAAATCGGGTGAACAAACATATTTGAAGATACATATGGTCAAACAAAAGGGTGAGAGTTACATCTAGCAGCCACTGTGCTTCTGCTCTGTAGCCTGTTCTTCAAAAAACAGTGGGGGAAAAATTTTTTTTAAAAAAAACAAAGAATGCCCTGTGCAGTATGGCTCAGTTTATTGGAACATCGTCCTGTGTATCCAAGGGTTTTTGATTCATTTCCCAGTCAGGGCACATATCAGTATGTGGGTTCCATTTCCAGTTATGGTGTGCAGAAGGCAGCAATTGATGTATCTCCCTCACACGGATGTTTCTCTCTCTCTCTCTCTCTCTCTCTCTCTCTCTCTCTCTCTCTCTCTCCCTCTCTCTTCCTCTCTACAATTGATGTCTCTCCCTCACACGGATGTTTCTTTCTTTCTCTCTCTCCCCTCTCTCTCTCTCTCTCTCTCTCTCTCTCTCTCTCTCTCTCTCTCTCTCCATCTCTCTTCCTCTCTATGTGAAAGGTATATATATATAAAAGCGCAGCAACCGAATGGTGGAACAACCAGAGCGACTGGTTGACCAGTTGCTATGATGTACACTGGTCACCAGGGGGCAAATGCTCGGCGCAGGAGCTGCTCCCTGGTAGTCGCTGTTCTCCCACAGTGGGAGCAGCCACTAGCAGGCCCAGGGTGAGGCGGAGTCTATGAACCTATCAGATACCTGAGAATTCAGACTCTGTGCTGACCTTCCATGTAGGCCCTTTAAGGTGTAGAAAGTCCACAGGGAGCTGGTATAAGTGGATGGCAAGAGAGGATTTGACTTGGACCCCCAAGGAGGCTGTCCTGATAGCTAAGGATCCTAAAGCATGGCACCTCTGAACATCGTCAATGGCATCACTGACCTGGCATCACACATCATGGAAATTCACCGAGTGGCTTTGGGGTGCAAAGATCTCTGCCAGGTTCCTCCAGGACACAGGACATGCCTTTACCCAAGACTTTACCCCAACATATCAGCTCAGACTAATTTCCTCATTCAGCAGCTGCACAGAGGGCGGGTCTAGAGCCACTCAGCTGACCAGGATGAGCGGTGCTCCCACAATGAGCAGATCCCCGCAGGCTACGTCCCCAACCAGTGCACAAATCTGTGCCCCGGGCCTCTAGTAACAAATAAATACATAAGAATTTCAAGGCAGCCAAACATACAACAGCACTCAAAAAAGTCTAGACCAGTGATGGCGAACCTTTTGAGCTCGGCGTGTCAGCATTTTGAAAAGCCCTAACTTAACTCTGGTGTCGTGTCACATATAGAAGTTTTTTGATATTTGCAACCATACCAAAAAAAGACTTTTATATTTATTTTATATATTTAAATGCCATTTAACAAAGAAAAATCAACAAAAAAATGAGTTTGCGTGTCACCTCTGACATGAGTGTCATAGGTTCACCATCACTAACCTAGTGACACCTTTTTTTTTAAGGCTCTTTTATCTATTGATAGACTTGCCAGTAACTTCTTATTTACTGTGATAAAGAAATGTACACATATTTTATTTTTAACACTGTGGGAATTCTTAAATCAGAGGGGATTAAAATTTTTATAGA